GGGCGGGAACGTCAATGGCTTTCCCGCCTCTCGATCGATGTCACGTCATCACGTCAGACGAGTGCCGAGACAATGCAGATTGCAACTATTCGTTCTAGGACCCACACACAAGTTTTTTTTCTGTTTAATTATTTTTATAAGTGAATGAATTTTTGCTTACCATAGTCTGTTAGTCGTACCAGAACTCACACGTACGCAGTGAACAGGTTCTATAGCTCATCCAAACGCCCCACTCTTCTTCCTTTTTCTGGTCTTATTCTCGTGCAGCCCCCCTTTCTACGGTTTTTGGAAGCCCTTTTTCTATTTGGAAACACCGATTCACCAGTTTCTCCACCTTCATCGCAATTTTCGACCTTGTCTTCCATTTTTCATCATAATCTGGATTACCCAAAAGTATCGTGAATTGTGCCTTTAATGGCCGAACACTAGGTATACTAGGGATATGCCTACTGCTAATATATTACAGAAAATAGAGATATGTATTCGTTTATTCAACTTGAAAGGGCTTCTTCTGAGAACACCTTGATTTATTCGTTTCGAAATGTCCTTCAGCTACTCATGCAACCCCTAAAATTACCGTTTTGGACCTCGGAAGGCAAATGCCCTAAAGGACATTTTCGTATCGAACTTTTAGGTGCCTTTGGAAAGGGCGAATTATGCCACACTAGAGCAGGATAAAAGCTTATAAAAATTCAAGTGTTTCGTCAGTAACAACTTTTCTCCTTATTTTCATGTGTCAAGAACTCGCTTGTACGGGATAAACATGTGTAAACATACCGTAAACCTGTGGAGGGTGTAGATGTACTGTGAAGGGCAAAGTGAGTAGTGACAAGAAGCTTGTCCGACAAATTCCGAAAATCCATTTCAAAAGGTAATTTGACCAGTTGTGTTCTATAGGAACTCGGGCATTTCAAGACCTCCTGGGTAGTATTCGGGAAAGATGTTCCCCTTATACGGCTCACTTTTCCACTATTTCCTACTAATATCATGGTTTTTCTTTATGAGGAATGATTTGTCTCCCTGAAAACATTATGAAAGCTTCTTCTGAGGTTAGGGAGCATGTGCTTGGCATCCCTATGAAATCACTTTAAACTAGAACTTTTTGCAATACATGAAAGAGCGCTCAGATTTCTCTTTGACATTCAGTGGGGATTAGACATCTGTTCTCAGTAGCTTCCCAACAGCCAACATCGGTGGATACTCAGCTCATTGGTGAGATTTCTTCAGAAGCCTTTGACTAAGATTTTCGGCAAAAATTTCTTCCAAGTTCTGGGCAAGCTCAGCACCAATAAACCTGCCTGACAAGGGCAGAGCATACGAGCGAGAGGGCTTAAAAGGGCACTGCGGTCGATATGTCCACTCCTTTTTCCTTCCTATGCTGAGACATGAAGGTTGAAAGCAACGGCTGACAAGGTATGTAGGAGCACGACGTGGTCTTGAAGTCCCTCACTTCCGCCGCAACGGCTATATAACGACGTAGGCGGGTATTCCCTGGTACTGCGCTGAACGAATGCTTCTTGAGAATCCTCAACCCGATCTTGATTGATTTCTTGTTGATCGAACGATTGATCGGTCTCCATCACCGCAATAGCATAATCTCGGCAAGCTGTATGGATCATATGTAGTTAAGTAGGAACAAGCCTATCGAAATGACCGGGGAATAGGAAGTGTAAATCTAATCTAACTGCGTCATCTTCATTGGTCACCCATGAGGCTACAGAACGTTACAAACTCTCCCTTACAGATCGATTTTTGATCATATGCTCCCACTTGGTGGTTTCACTCTTGCGGATGCATCAAATTAGTGTACAGAACAACATTTGTTGACTGAAAGCATGTGGTACCTCAAAAACCGAACATTGGCCACGACGGTGAAACGAGGTCGCTGGTTAGTTCCGCTACTTCCCACGTACCAATCTTCCACACGCATGGGGCAGTTGGACTTGTAACGAGGACATTCCGCATGTCCGTGTTTGTCAACCTTTTGCACGTACGCTAGAGTGAGTGAATAGGAAATCTACGGATTCAGGATAAATGTGTTGCATATACTCAAAAGTCAGGAAAAGTCGACAAAAGAATTTGAAGATTCGGAGGAAATTTTTAAGAAAGGGTGGGATGGTGGGATCCACAACAGGCGAGCAGAACACCGATGAGACGCTGGCTCCACCTTTTATGGTGATCTAGGGCTGTACGGGTTACTCAAGTAGCTCGTTTGTGATTTGAAACTTCGAAGCAGGTCATCTTGTGAGCGGAAGAGAAGAAGCGATCAATGGCTGGATCAGCTGCCGGCAGACATTCGTTTGAGTTAAGGGCGGGCCAAAACCGAGGAGGCGGTTCCTTACCAGCTCTTCTTCATCACCTTAGCCGCGACAACTTGCACCATCTCCCATACTGCCCAATTTCACAAAGTATAAATTATTGTCAATACTAAATATGCAGAGAGCGGTGTCAATTCATATTCAATACTGAATAGTTTTCCTGTGGGTTTCCCTTTGTTGTCTCATTTATTGAATGTGAGAATTTTAATCCGATCATCGATTGTCTCTCAAAAATTGCTGTATTGCCCATACAACAATTCGTGTTCTCTATAATTATAACGGAAAACGAAAGTCTGTGGCACTCGAGAAGGATTGAATACCTTTCTTTTTACTCGAATGTATTCAAACTAGTTAGATTTTCGCTGACTCTGCGACTTCCAGAACTTTTTTTCTAAATGTTTAATTGCAATCTCGAATTTCGATTCACGTAGCTATTGGGTTTTCGAATGCTCAATTCTAAAAGATTGTATAAATTATTGTCAATACTAAATATGCAGAGAGCGGTGTCAATTCATATTCAATACTGAATAGTTTTCCTGTGGGTTTCCCTCTGTTGTCGTTTTCATTGAATCTATCACCAATGTGGGAAATTTAATCCGATCATCGATTGTCTCTCAAAAATTGCTGTATTGCCCATATATCAATTCGGGTTCTCCATAATTATAACGGGAAATTAGGGTCTGTGGCACTCGATAAGGATTGAATACTTTTCTTTTACTCGAATGTATTCAAACTAGTTAGATTTTCGCTGACTCTGCGACTTCCAGAACTTTTTTTCTAAATGTTTAATTGCAATCTCGAATTTCGATTCACGTAGCTATTGGGTTTTCGAATGCTCAATTCTAAAAGATTGTCAAAGCTTTTATTTTATACTTGGGATTTGAACTGACCGACTTTTCAGCGGAATCTTTTCGCAATACTTTCCACCGAACTCGGTAATTGGATTCACTTTTGATATGGCAGTACATGAACACCGGTCACTCCAGCGTGCCTATTTTAGTTACTGTTTAAGGCAAATTCGCACTCAAACGCTTAAAGGCACAGTTCGCCAAGAAAATCATTTGCAAGTTTTACAAATATAACGACCGTATGGCCTCTAAGTGTGGAACACGGTGCGCTACTGGGTCGAAAAACGGCTCAGATAGGGCTCAACAAGGGGTCAGATAACAGCTTAGCCGACGTCTACACCCAAAACTGGCCGTGTTTCAATGGCGCTGTAGAGAGTGCACCTTTCTCAATGGAGCGCACAAGTAGAATATTCAAATAATTATTGATTCAGGGCGACAGTGAAACTTCTGGCACTTCTCTTCTCATCTCTGTGACTTATCGGAGCCAGCTCTTCGAGCTATTGCACAAGCTGACATCTCGCCTGAACTCACCCTCTATGCCTTAATTGGCATCACAAACACAGACAACCAAATTTCTTTTACTACTCTAAAATCTAAAATTATATATTATATTAAATATTATTATATTATTATTAAATAAATATTATTATATTGTTATATTATTAAAATATAAAATCTAAAATTCTAAAATTATCGTGAACTATGCCTTCAAATGAAGAAGAAGGTGGCGGGTTGTGGCATGTCAGAGGAAACCTAGCCATTTGCCCTCTTGAAGATTTCCTAAAAAGAAAAAATAAAGTTCTGGCAATACTGGCAATCTGGTCCTTTTGGGATACACACCGCATTCGATCTCCATGCGGAATCACAGTGGGCGAGTATCGATCCGTGATCGTGTCCCCGGATCGTGTTTATGATAGGGAGCCATTTGCCAATACACCGTCACCGCCCCAAAACATTTCCCATTCGGGGCAAAATATGGTTTTTGTAATGACCAACTTGAGGGGGTAATTTGAGGGGAGGGGCGAAAGGAGGAGGCATCCACTCATGCCAAAAGTGAGGAGAATTCTCCAAACCTTTTAGGTCACCTACTTGTTCCAATTCAGCCACAACCTGTGCCATACCGATTCTGTTCCCGTATGCAAATGGGAACATTCCTTAAACGTTCGTTCGCTGTCTTTTTTCCTACTTGTTGGATGAGAAAGGTCGTCGTCGCAGTGTAGGAGGCCGACCGCTCTTCTCGTGGCCGGCCGCGTATGCTGGCTGCTGGCTGCACTACCTCCTAACGAGCGCCAGATATCGGCTCAGCCGTCCATTCCTCCGTTCGCCTGCCGTCGATCACACCTTAATGCCGTCAAACTTCACGCTTTCCTCTCGAGTTTCTCACCTATCCATATTTGCTTATTCTCAAAATATTCTCTACCTCTTCAGCTTTCTCAAAGCAAAAATTCGTTTGCAGCTTCGCTCCCATTCGAATAATCCTTGATTTTTATAATGTTTATTCTGAGACTGGCTAGATATAATGGCGGTTAATCTGTCCGCTAGCGCTGGGCGTTTTGTTCGTGGTCGAGCTTGGCGTTCAAAGTGGTTGTGAAGGTCGATTCGGTCCCGGAATGTCCGGGCGATCGATCGGGTCACTCGTTGTCTTAGGCAACAATGCGCACGTCTCCGAGGTGGTTTTTCGGTCGTGAACTTGGCCTAGACGCCCATCATTCATCCGGATGGGACATTCCAGTTCCAATTCTTCTACAAAATCCGCTCCTACACGCACTCCCATCTCACGTAGGCCGCTTCCTCTTTCTCCCATGGCCGGTTATGGCAAACTGGACGTTCTCAGGTGGCCTTTTCTGCTGGCCATGATGATGCAATTGCAAGAAGAATGTTTCGTAATGCGTCCAGATCCTCGCGAACTTTTAGCAAAACCGGTTCACGTTGTAAATGAAGCCAATTTCGGTGACCATGAACACCGCTGTTATCCATCCTTTGCTTGGGAACTGTAACCGGAAAGGCCAGTCATACTGTATTCAGTCTTTATATTCCTAAAGCCTATATTAACTTCATGGACCTGATCCAAAACAATGGGTTGTCTTCGTTGACGGCCAGCTGTTCTCTTCGAACATCCTCTGGTTATTAAACCGACCTTTGCGTGGCTGGCTGCTCCACTTACTTCCAATCTCTGGGCGCTCACCGCACGTTTTTCAGCAGACGGCGTTCTGGCAGGTTCCCCCGCCCTCAAAAGGAGAAATACAGGTCGAAAAGAGGTTCTCATCCCATCCCCGTTCTTCGTACCCACTCCACTGCCATTTATCCGTCATTCTCCAAGTCCCCTTCCCTTGGATCCCAAGTAGAACACCAGAAAACCAGGGAGAAGAAAGTTTTTTGGACTCGATTAGGAGTGGGCGTGAATCTTTCAGTTTCTTGATGATTAATGCATCAGCTTATGTACTGGTATCTGTGAAACTGCTCGTGTGTCTTTTCGGTGGAACTGGAACCTTGCGACGGTGCTTGAAGAACGTCGTTCATTGTCGGAATGCACAGTTGCGATACCAGTGTCCGGTTTCCAACAATAATAATTGCATTCATTTCTTTCTCTCCAACACTCTCTCCCACCCGACATCTCCCACTTCTACGTTGACCGCCAATCCTTTCCATCGCAATTCATTGCGATTGCAATGATGAAAGATGGTCGCTTCCTTTAGAAAGGCCCCTTCTCAAAGTTTTCTCGGCATAAACCTATCTTCCTCTGAATGGCTTCTAAGGATCGCTTCATCTCTCCTGTCTCCTGAACATTCCTGGAGCAGACTTCAGGCGATTATGACGATCCTCCATCGTTTCAACTCTGGTATTCATTGTCGTTTAATCAGATTGAGTTGAACTACGCCGGCTCGTCTACCCAATCAGCCTAAACACTTCAAGAGTGGGAAAGTCCTTGGTCTGGTTCTGTGGTGGGCTAGGGACTTTCCTGGGGGTGACTGTGAAGTGTTTATAAGGGAAACTGTTTGGTATGAATATTTATGTCCCCTGAATCCCTCCAGATTTTCTGACAGGATCTCGACGACCAACTACCAGGGAAGTTTTGCGTAGTCAGCCTTTATTTATCATCCTAAATTCGTAGTATGGCCGCATTCGAACTGGTTCGACCATGATTTACGTGAACAACTGTAAATTACTCGAATGACTGCAGTTTTTCTTCGAAAACTATTCACCGGTATCGCCGTATTACCGTAACCGGGACACGTTGGAAGTTACCGCTGCATCTCATTCAGTGTTTTTGTTGCTTTTGTATTCAAAATTGCTATTTTCTCCAAAACCACCTGCTCCCAATTCCATCTGAGTTACTTCATTCTTCTGGGTATTTCAAAGACTTTTCTTAGACTCACTCATATAAAAGGTTCATGATTGGCTTTACTTCGCTTACATACCTATGCCCAAAACTGGTATGTTAGTTTCTGGGAAATCATTTCGTAGTCAATTCAAGTCATCCTCGGTCACACTTGATCGACATGCAAAACGTCGTTGTAAACTATAAAAATGTTCTCAGCACCACTCGTTAATTTCGTTCCGGTCATTTATGCCAGCCTTCCAAACATCAAAACGCCCATCGTCTCAAACACACCATTTCCCAATGAATCTTTCTTTCGAATACATTCGCCTCTTCGTCTTTTCAACGTCTTCGTTTACTAATTGTTGATGACTTCTTGATGACCTCGAATCATAATTATGCCGAGATTTATGGAGAGACGATTGTGAATCCTTTGATGTTCATTCCGGCAGGAGCGCCATTCAGACATGCCCTGATGATCCTAATTTTTGTCCGGTTCCCCAGAGACTTCTTCACCAGAGATAATCGTTTCGAAGTAGCCATTGGTAGGGTTGATCGATTCATCTGAGAGAGATATCGTCGGATAGGTGTGTCGTGGTGGGCACGGGAAACTATGGGTATACGAGTGTATCTGCTACTCGAGCATACCATTGTCTAGGCTCCATGTTGANAGCACCACTCGTTAATTTCGTTCCGGTCATTTATGCCAGCCTTCCAAACATCAAAACGCCCATCGTCTCAATACACCATTTCCCAATGAATCTTTCTTTCGAATACATTCGCCTCTTCGTCTTTTCAACGTCTTCGTTTACTAATTGTTGATGACTTCTTGATGACCTCGAATCATAATTATGTCGAGTTTTATCGAGAGACGATTGTAAATCCTCTGTTGCTCACTCCGAAAGTAGCGCCATTCAGACATGCCCTAATGATCCTAATTTTTGTCCGGTTCCCCAGAGAATTCTTCACCAGAGATAATCGTTTTGAAGTAACCATTGGTAAGGTTGATCGATTCATCTGGGAGAGATATCGATGAATAGCTGTGTTTACGGGCACGGGGAACTATGGGTATACGTGTGTATATGCTACTCGAGCATACCATTGTCTAGGCTCCATGTTGAAAGAGATCGCAGATCAGGTTTCTGAGAAGCAGAGACAACAATACAAGCGAGGCAGCTGCGCCTCAAGCTTTTCAGATCTTCTGAAGCCTCTCATCCAGCATATTGAGCCAAAAACAGACAGACAGACAGACAAAAACAGAAACAAAACAGTTTTTGTTAAATTTCGAGCTGAAGAATTGAAAAACTGTAGTGGAAGTAGTAACCTTCAAAGCACTGAAGGACTTGAATCTCTCAGAAAAAGGTCATTCAAGAGTGTGAACAATGATTTATACTGACTAAACTGAGCTTTCGAACTTATTGCCTACTCTTTCTATTCGTGGCCCTCATCTCACTAGATGTTTTATGAGTTCCTGACCATTTCTCTGCGGCAGTATTGGTTTACCATTACTTTTTTCTTGTTATCGAGTCTTCCATGTGACTTCCCTGGTCTGTAGAAGCTTCTTTCACAAACACTCGATGAACATTTTTCAAGTTTTTATTTGATAGGCCATTTGTTCTCCTCGATTTCCCTTTGAGTTCAATCCTGTTGCGGGCTTAAAGAGAATTCATTACAGTTTTGTGGCTAACCTCGCAAAATGACCGTACTTCTTGTGAATGACCCAAATTTGTGCTCTTCCCTGAATTGAGGCGTCCCAACCTACACCCATGAAAACTGTTCCAAATAGGTGCAAGGTTAGGCGAGAAACATCACCTGTAATTTGTAGTCGTTATCTCAACTTCTTAGGTTTGGTGTCTCAGATTAGAGTTCTTCACTGCGACGTGCTTGGCCCATACTGAGTGTGAATGTTAGTCATTGGATGTCTCACTTTTCTGTGCTCCACAGAAATCTTTGCAGTAAATAATTTGTGGTTAAATCGTGCTATGCGACAGGAAAAGGTAGTACACATGCCGAGATGTTTTAGGCCTCATAAGTTTCTCACTTATGCCAATATGTTACATAGGAACCTTGAAGAGGTTTTGAATTTTTGCTAAACCCTTTAAGGACTTAGGATTTAAGGACCCTTCACGATAATTTTGAGATACGGAGGATGCACCATGGGATTAAGCTGCTAAAACTGGAAACAATAAGGGCTATACGATGCCGTTACGAAGAAAGTGGCATGAAAGGGGTACGGAGCCTGTTGTCAGATGTGGCCTAACGGGTGGAGTTGGCTACATTAAACCAAAAATGCCAAAAACTTGTGTTCCATTGTCGCCATGGGTCTTGAGTAAACGGTTGGATCATCAACATGTGTGCTCCAATGCGAATGACTCCGCCCTAACAAGGCCGTCGTAACACGTCCGCTTGTGGGTGTGTACGTTGACCAATTTGGTTTTGGGCCCTTGCCACGTCCTATCTACGCCGTTTTTTCAGGCCGACAATGCCCCGTGTGCTATCCTGGGAGCCCCCAAGTCTTTCTAAGAAGAATTCCCAGAAACCAATACCATCGCGATATGCCCTTCTAGAAGAGAGTCTAGCTAGTGTCGAATTAGCTAAAGTACGAAGTTCCACCAGCCTATTTTGGGGCCGAACCGAAAAGAAAGGCTGGCTGAAAGGTTTGTTGTTCGAATTGAGGGAACAAGATGTTGCTGTAGAGAAAGTGCAGATGTTTTAGTTCAGACAAAGTCATATCACTACATATAGCCTATCAAGGTAACGAACAGGCTGAGGGCATGCCGGGTAACATCGTCCTGTTTTCTCTCTCATACAAGTCTGGCCGAATGTAATCAGCAGTGGTAGCAGTAGGACAGAAAAGACAAAGTCTTTGAGCGTTGAAGGATCCCGTTCTGTAATGCGCCTTCGCGAAATTCATTTAGAATCAGAGGGGTGAAATCTTGGAAATCACGACTTCCAACTGGTTTTGAAGCCATTTTTTTCAGTCTGGCCGAGCGGATATGCGTGCGAATACCTGAGAACGTCTAAAAGTCGGTGAACTGCTTGTCAGTTTGCTCGCAAACCTGACACCTGCTCAAAAACTGATGCAAGCGCTCCTCACACAAATTACATTTTGATGTGAAATGTTGCACGGACTCTCATTCACTGCTTCCCATTTGCTCACCATTCATCCATCCGTGTTCCAGAAAGTCAATTACTATCTCAAATGAAATAACCATTTGCACTCGGGTTACTTCTTATTTTCTGAAAATTTCATATGAAAAAGACTTTAAACCTAAAATGTGAATAGACGGAAGGTCAAGCAGAGAAATATAAAAATTCCAATAAGTAATGACCTTTTAGATAAGCTTCACTTTTACCTTTCGAATTCAATTCGAAGGCACAGCTCACGATAAAAATGGTCCCTGGAATTCCTCCCCAGGACGGACCTGTGGCCTTCTGTAACGACGTGGGACATTGTTGGGCTGAAAGGCGACGTAGACAGGGCG